ACGGGGGAAGGGAACCCCCCGGAAACGGAACCCCCGGGGGGCCGGGGGGCCGTGGTGGGCCGTGGGACGGCCCGGTCGTCCCTCGGGGGAGGCCGGGGGGGGTCACCTCCAGGGGCACAGGATGATGGTGAGGAGGGCGGCAAGAGAGCATGGGAGGGGCCTTTCCTGAACAGCAGAGGGAGAACGAGGACCTGAGGGTCTGAGGAGAGCCAAGAAGGACTTGGAGACCAAGGAGACAAACCGGGGGAGTGTGAGAGGCTGACGGGGCCTGAGGAGTGTGAGAGAGGCGGGAGGCCAACGGGAGCAGAAGAGCTGACGGGGGTGGGGGCGGCCTCGGCGTGCCAGCAGCTTTCTGCACCACACCCCGTCCGGAAGCCGCCTGCCCACCCGGGGACACAGGAGGCACAGGGCCGAGGGGGACCCAAGAACGTGACGAGGCTCAGCTGGAGCCCAGGCCCGCGGGGGGGAAGCGGTGACGGGGGGAAATGACAGAGGGGCGCTGCAGGCCCCAGAACTGACGATGACGAAGTTGAAAACAGGTGGACGAGAAACACCTTCTCTGTGTGGGGTTTTAAACACACCCTCCTCTACTCGGGGGCTGACATGAGAAGCATCCAGCTCAACAGGCCTTCAAATCTGTGAAACGCAGTTGAAGATTTTTATCTTTCAAAGTTATCTATATCCTTCAGAAAAGCCAGATAAACTTCATAATGGTTTAAAAAATTTTAGATGTATTATTAGTAACCCAAAAAAAACAAAAAAACAAAAAAAGACTGAGTCACATTTATAAAGAAACGTGCAAAACCTATGTGAAGCAATCTTTTAAAATTATTTTTAAATCCTTTAAATTTCATGTGCTTCTGAGGCACATACAAGAAGTTTTCAGGATACAAAAAAAGCACCTCACACTTAATACTTCATTAAGATAAGATTTAGCATCGAAGGTATCAGTTCTCCCTAAATTAATCTACAAATTTAATATAATCTCAACAGAAATACCGTCAGAATTCTTTGGAATTAGATAAGCTTACTCTAGTGTTCACATGCAATAATAAATAAAAATATCCTGGAAAATGCTAAAGAAAATGAGGTATCTAATTGCCTCAAAAATACACTGTGAAGCTACAATAATCAGGAAGTGTGCTTCTAATGGATGAACAGATGGACAGACTGACACAGTAAAGCAGTAAATGAAACTGCAGAACTGTGAGAAGTCAGTGTGTGATAAAGGCAGTGTTCCAAACTGGTCAGTGCTGGAAACGGATGACGTGGGGCACCGTGCAGGGGCAGCCAGTTAGGAGCTGGGAAAGAAATTAAGTGAGCACCATACTTCACATCTTACGTAAATCACAGACAGTAAACTTTCCACTTACAAAAATGGAACAGGATTAAAAAATGAAAAGCCCTAAAAGAAGCCACGAGGGCCTGCCTGACTCACCCGGGGGAGAAAGCCCTACGCACGGAACTGCCCACGCGGCCGCTGTCCCGCCAGAGGCCTGCTCGCAGGCTGGCCCTGGGGCGCCTGGGACCTCGGCCAGTAAACGTCCCACACTGACAGCCAATGTCCCCTGGCAGGCAGGTGGTTCACAGTGCCTGGACCGTGTGAATAAATGGCGTGCTGACTGAACACGCACTCCCTCGGCGTGCATTCGGGTCAGCCTGGGTGTGCGGGCAGAGGGGCCTCTGTAACCTACACATGGCAGCGTTTCCGTAGCTGGGGGACAAGTGTGCTCCATGTGGCCCTCGCGGGGGAGACTGCTCCAGACCCCACCCAGGTCGCCTCCCCCAGGTGTGGCTGTGTCCTCATCACAGTGCTGAAGAGTCAGAGCTGTGGGTCCTTCTAGTGGGTCCCTGAATGTCGGGCAGTCACGCGGCACCCAGACATAGCACCGCCAAGTCATAAAGGGCTCATCTTGCCAATGAAAATCCTAAATTTTTGTGTGATGGAAGCGACGTAAACAAAGCTGAAAGGTGAAGTTGAGAAAACTGACTCATATCCCAAAGGCCTAACTTACTTATCTGTATGTGTATCACCTACAAACCTTAAGAAAAACATCAACAACCCTTTGAAATGTGTGAACGAGCATCTTTTTATAAAAGAAGCAGTACCTTGTAGTTTGCGTGAGTAGCTTTCAGGACATCGTGCAATTTGAGGTACGAAGGAAGGTGATAGAAACTCCCCAGTGATGAGGACTTGTTTGCTGTGACGGGTCCTGGGACATCAGATTGTCGAGAGGCTTTAAAAACACGTACACACAGAAAATAAATTGTTACATCAAAAGCAAACACTCACCAAGTTTAAAAGAGAATTACTGATTTACAAAGTATTCTAGTGGGAAAAATCTCGAATTTTTCCTCTGGCTTTTGATTAATCAGAAGTAACCAGAAGCTGACTAACAGGCACAAGCAGATTCTGGGTGCCTCCCGAAATGCTAAAGTGAAGTACGGACAGGAAAGCCGTGCGATGCTAGCGTCTGGCTGCCGGTTCGTGAGTCTGAGGAACAGCCAACTCAGCGGCCTCCGGTCCATCTCAAACCACTCGGAGCGCAAGGCGCCCAGGGGCACAGGGAGCTGACCCCTGGCCCGCTGAGGTCACGGGCCCTGCGAGCACCACAGGAGGAGCGGGCGTGGCCTGACACCGTACGGGTGCACACGGCACCATTAAGCGGACACTAAACATTAAGTGCCACGCGCTACGTGAGGCTCTGAAGACTAGGGATTTGGAGCCCTTCGTCTGCTAAGCCATCGGCACGGGGACCAGGCAAACGCTGGTAACTGCATTCGTAAGGCTCTGAAGCTCTTCAGCTGGTGAATCTCCCACCAGCACCGTCGTCAGTCCTTGGAAAACGGCGTCTTTTAAAAGCGTTAACACAAATGCTCCACAAGCAGAAGGGACGCAAGTCGTGTCCGGCCCGGCACTGAGATGGGAGTGGTGGGGAGGAGCCCAGCCGGGCGTGGTCACCTCCTGCTCGGCCGCCGCTGTTCCTGTGCGCCTCAAGAGCAGCACAGACCGCGTGACCCCAGTCACACCGCACTCTGGCCCCCTCTGTTCCGAGATGCTCCCCTGCAAGCATCCGAGAGCCTCCAGGTTCCTCTCACTCGGCTGGTCGTGTCCCCACTGTGCTGCCCCCAGCCCTCCCGAAGGCACACCGTCCGCTCGCCGTTTCAGGGCTCTCCACGCATCAGAATCAACGATTCCACCTGCCACGTCTACCCCGCCCACCTTCCTGAAAGCAGAGCACCTCCCACCCCGTCCTGCGGTGAGGAGAGGGGGAGGAGGCGGCCAGCGAGCTCCTTGCTGTGGCCGGACGCCTGCACTCCTGGGACCCCTTGTGAGCAAGTGACAGGGGCACGCTCTACACCAAAACGTGGTCTGTGCACACTCAGTAAACTAACATTCACTATCTGAAACCAGACCTGGGAAACCACGTCCCTGGCCTCACTGCGTGTTTTATTTCCCCAGGCCAACCAGTTACGATATTGACCCTGACGTGAGCATAAGCTTCAGATCTCAATTTCCACACTACAAACGGTGCCCCAACCCTCTCCCCGCCACGCCGCGCACCTGGACTGGCCTCGCCGCCTTTCCTGGGGCTCACGGGCACAGACGGCGGCTCCCCCGCCTCCTTCTCTTTCCCCTTCCGCCGGATTGGACTCAGAGAAGGGGGGTTGGTTAGAGACGGCAGGGCGGCCTGAAACGGAAAACACTGGCTGTGAAGGGCGCACACCCAGCGCAGGGCTGAGCACCGCGGCACGCAGGCCGCCATGCGCGGGGAAGAACCGGCCCACGCAACTCACCTCCCACCTGGAAGCCAGTTCGGTCTGCACCCCGAGCCCACGGCCACGGAGCTCGGCCACCGCGCGCACACCACCCCCTCCAAGCCCCGCAGCGGTGGCAGCAGGCTCCGGGCGCCGTGGCGTGAAAGGAGCGCAACGTTTTAAACTCCGCTTTTCAAACGAGTTAACAGGCAAGCTTGGTGGCATGTGAATTACACTGTAACTGTGTGATGTAAATGACGCTGTTCAAAAAAAAAGGCCACCGCAGTGGTCCAAATACTACACTCCACCAGCCTGGAGCAGAGCAGGGACGGGGAACACAGAAGAGTGTGTTCACATGTGTGTCCGCAGATGTCTGTGCGTGTGCACATCAGCACGTGGGCTTTTCTGTGAGATGCTCCGAAGGGAACACAAAGAACGTGATGGGAGAAATGGAGAGCTATGACGGCTCTCATCCTCCAGCTTGACAAACACAAAGCAGGGAAGCCCAGGGGCAGGCGCCGGCAGGGGGGGACGGGGAAGCCCAGGGGCAGGCGCCGGCTGGGGGGGGACGAGGAAGCCCAGCTAGAGCCCGTGTGAGATCCCTCCAAGGAGAAGCGCCCAGTGGCAGCTGGTCACACCGGCCGGCGCAACGAGGACAGGCTGGGGTCTCCGACGTTCAGGTTGTGAGGGCCAGAGAGCAGACCTGACTACCTGGGGCTGCCCAGTCCCCCAGGGAGCACTCTCTGCACGTGGCTGGCTAAGTCTAAATCTCACGACAATTAAACAGAATGACAAGTTCAGTTCCTCAGTTGCACTGGCCACATGTCCCGTGCTCGGCTGCCACCCGTCCTGGCTGGTGCAGACAGAATGCTCCCACCCCTACAGGGCGGGGCTGGAGGCGCTGGCCTGGAGCTTGGGGAGAGAGGGGGCGCGAGTGGTGGGCAGGAGGACCAGCCCAGGCAGCAGAAGGTGGCAGAGGCAACCAGGAAGCCAACCAGAGGCACCGGAGGGGGTCCTGAGGGACGCATGGGTGCTGAGATGGCGCACCCATGAGACCCAAAGGTGGGCGTGGCAGGGAGAGCTGCCGTGGAGAGCAGTGGCAGGAGTCGGGCCAGCAGGGGTTAGGGAATGTACGGCCGAAGCAGTGGACAGAGGCTGTGCAACAAAGGTCGGTGTCAGGGAAGCGCGACGCCGACTCGGGTGTAAGCGGGACACTGGAGGGCAGCGGGAGGAGCAGCCAAGTCAGAGGAGAGCTCTCAGGGCGGAAGAGACAGAAGAGAGTCGGCACACACAAGGGGGCCCATCCACCTAAAGCTCACTGTGCAGTTACCACGTGTTCTCAAGCTGACACTACTGAACTGCACGTCAGAGAAAGGCAAAAACTGTTGGCCAACATTTCAGGAGAGAGCAAATGAGATACCTAGCCAGCAACTTCAGCTCTGCATTCGGGGCCCACGCTCAGAGTCTCCGAGCAAAGTCAGGATCCCTCTCAGAGGCGACAGTGAGTGACAGATGACACCAAAAGGGCCACAAACTGGATAAGCACATCTGGTGTTCAATCCAGTGTCAAGACAAGAGCCATGTTGTTCACTTACAGCAAAAGAGAGTAAGGAAGGGTCTCTGGAAGCCCGCGGCGCCACCCGGAGAATTAAAACAGCTGCTGAGTAAGAAGTTACCTTGATCGCCGGTCCAGGAGCCACATCGTCCAGGACGTGCGCACAGATATTAAGCACCTTCAGCAGGTGGGAGAAGAGCTGCTCCACCACGGGCACCAGGGCCCGGTCACCCAGAGCCGGCCAGGCCTCCTCCTGCTTGGTGGCTGCGGGGCTGGCCTCTTCTTCAGAGGTCCACGAACTTCTCAGAGACTTGGGGGCACTGGCTGTGACACAGGAACATACGTTACTCCCGGCTCCGCGGTGAGAGGACGTGAGCCATTCAGACCCGTCAGCGCTGAGAGTCTGCTGGACACCTCCGCCGGGGGGCCCACTGATTCCTTGGTTTCAACGGTTCCCAATTTCCGTGTGTGTCCCCACCACACACCCACCCAGGATGTGACAGAGGCCTCCGGAGCTTTACAACCGAGGTCGAGCTGGTGAGCCAGGCCCGATGCTGCCTGTTTCACTCTCTCCGTTGGTCTCTTCCCACAGTTCCACAGCCACTGCCTCGCTCAGACTCTCAGTCTTCCTCAACCATGGCACTAACCCCCTGCGTTCCCTACCTTCCTCCTCCAGCCCGCGCTCACGTCAGCCGAGTCACCCGACTGTTAGTCCTTTCCGTGAAGTTCCCCAATGACCTCCCACAGCAAACAGACTTAAGTTCTCACTGGTGGAGACTGGCGACATCCCCACCCCCCTCAACTGCCACGGGCCCTCCCTCACCAGCCACTTTTTTCATCCTAGTCCTCGTCCTCATGTGGCATGCAAACTGACGTGCAGCCCTCAAATGCCACACACCTTTTTCACGTCTCCAGCCTTCACACGAGCTGTACCCTCTGTGCGGGGCGCCCTTTGCTGCCCACTCGTGAGTCTCACGTCCCGCCCCAGCCCCCCGCCACTCCCTGCCGCTGCACTTCCGCTCACGGCGGCCCTACAAACCTACCTTCCCCTCAAGAAGGCAGCCCTCACACCACACCCTCTTACGGCTCCAGTACCCAAGACAGTTCCCTGCACACGGTGCTCACCAAACTGCAATCAGAAGTGAGCTGGCCTACTACTAACTGAGGGGCGCGACTGGGGAGGGGCTACTTTAAAATGCTGGGCACAGAAGAGCTGCCTACAGTCCACACTTACACAGGCCGGCAGCGTCTGAAATTTTGGACGACAGGAACAAGCCGCCACTGGCAACGACCTCAGTACTTGTCCTCCACGTGCTCGTCACCCACACCCCGCCGCGGGAAACCTGCCATCCCTGCTTCAGCGCAGCGCCAGTACCTGCAAGCAGGTTCCCGGCCAAAATCAAAGCATCCTGATGCGCCGAGAGGTCCAGCGGGAACCAGGCTGACGAGAGCAGGGTAAGGATCACGGTGACCATCCCGACAGTGCAGCTCTTCCTAGACTCGTCGGAGGCGCTCAGCGGGGGCACTCTAGGGGCAGACATTCGCAAGGTCCAACTACAGAAAACACGTTAAGCGAACAGTCTTGCTTCCTCTTATGACCCAAACAGAAGGCACTGCACTGTTCATACCAGCTCATAAAGAGGTTGCACTGTGGTTAACTAACACCTTTTCTATGACCACAGCTCTGTAAGTGTCATTTCAGAAGGGAAGTCAGGTAGCAGATCTGATTAAAAGTATTACAACTGTTTACTCTGATAACCTTTTAACTTTCTCTAAGTTTTGACTCGGCACATTTTACTCCAACGTCAAAGTTGCTTGGAAGTCAGGTCTAACGTGGGGTCTACGACCCATGCAAGTGCTCGCTGACTCCCAGACGGAGTACAGGCCACTTCCAGCAAGGTCGGCTGGCACACACTGACACACGCGCGCGATCTGCAGTTTTCCTTCCAAATGTGACGGTGAGTTCCTGAGTCTTCCGCAGTCATCAGTATACATGTGGAAGCCGGCTCCTTACAGCTGCAGGAGACTCAAGATCATTCTGCAGACGTGCTAGGGCTGTCTACTGGAAGAGAACCATTTTCACAAGGAAACTGCTGCCGCAGTACCACAGCGCCTACATTGCCCTCCTACAGCTGATCATGATTTTGAATGTCAGGTCACATTTGAGCTTAAACAAAAAGTGATTCTAAATTTTTAAACAGTGGAATCAAGCCAATCAGAAAAGTCTTTTGTCAGCATATACAAATTCCCTTAAATGAACCTGCATATCACACCTTCAAAACCCTCCAAAATGCCTAGAAGTGAGTATCTGACATCCATTAGGAGCACAACTAATTCAGCATTTCCCAACAGCTTCTATCACTAGTTTCCCACACAACTAATAGGGCAGAGGCAAGTATTTCACTAAAGATTTTCCCAAAAGGTCAAACTGATCAAAGATTTAATAAGAAAGGGCTCCCCAGAACTGCCCCACATCGCCGTAGACGGCCGCGCGCCGAGGGAAGTACATACCCGCAGTGCCAGCCTAGGCTCCAAACGCACACTGGGAAGGCGGCGGAGAGAAGACACAGAGCTTCGCAGCATCCAAACTGAAGAGAGCAAAGATAAAACCACAGCCAAACGACATAAAGGGTTTATTAAATTGAACCCCCTCTTCCCTTTACAGAAAGCACAAACAATGAAAACAAAATTGAGAGAGCTATACACGACGACAGGGAATCCGCCCTCCCACAGCCCAAACTCATGCCTTCCGAGGCACGGCTGGACAACGGAGACACGGGTTACAGCCCAGCGAAGTCTGCGCCTTCGCCTGGAACTCAGTTGTCGTCCTGTGTCACCCCTGCCCGCAACACCCTTCCTCCCTCTGCCCGGTCTGTGCCTGCGCTCACGCTAATGTCCCTCTCCCTGACCGGACTGCAGGGACCACTAGGGCAGGGACCTTCTCTGCTTTTACATCCCAAGCCTAAAACGGCGTCTGACATGAGTGGGCCACGATGAACACGAACAAGTAGAGTTTGTGGTATTTTGAACAAATCAAGGGAAGACCGAACTACAGAGAGCCCAAACAATGTTTAGGTGTGAAAGACTCTTACACATTCATTAAGACACTCTAGTCATCAGTTTCTGAGTTTTCACAACATGCAAGCACTTCCTCTGTCACATAAGATAAGCGACAAGGTTCAACCTGGTAATCGGCAAATCAGCACTACTTCTGTGTAACCTCCTTTTTTCCTGATCATGAAAGTTATACTTGCTCATTTCAGAAAATTTGTGAATATCTGCAAAACATAACCATTCGTAATCCTCAAACTTACTTTGGTAATGTTCTGCCGATCATTTTCCTGAGCCTGTGAGAAACGTATACATGTGGACACTGTTCTTCACAACTGCACGTAAGCACAGGTTTGTGCTGTGCCTTTTCGCTCGATATTACAAGCCAGGTCACCTCTCCACAGATTGTTAAAAAGCCTCCAAAGCATTATTTGACAGCTGCACAGTAAACACATGCCTACGTTTACAGAACTTAGTCACAGTCAGAACTTACTCACTCTTAGACTCTTGGACATTACGGTTCTTTTGCAATTTCAGCATCATAAGTAATGATACAGATAATCAAACACAATAAAAATCTTTGTTGGCATTTCTGATTTCTCCCCGTTGGTGTGTGTTATAAAGTCCCTGAATCATACATATTAGAGAGATTTTAAACTTCTGATATATTACCAATTCAGATTACGGTAGTTTTTTTTCACTTTTACGTCTTCCTAGATCGGCTGAATTTTTTCACAATGAGCACATATTACTTTAATAATCAGGGAAAAAAACAGTTGTTTCCACCCCCACTGGAATAAACCAGGGCTCTTGTTCACAGACACGCAGCTTCTCGGCCAGCCACACTCGTAAGAGCCCTAACAGCGTCCTGCCATGACGAACAGACCCCACACACCGCCGGGGGTCAGCCTCACCGAGACCAGCCAGAGGAGACTTACTGTGAGCGCTCTCGTGGTCGATGTGACTAGCTCGTGAGACACCGCTGCGATAACTCTCGAAAGGTTATTTTCCAAAGTGACATCTGTTATGCTTGGTAGTAAGTTATAGCCTCTATATATTCTGACGAGAAAAACATGGAGACTTAAAATCTATTAAAGTTTATGACATTTTCAAAATTCAAATGGCATTTAGAATTTTAAGATTAAAGTCCACAAGAAGTTAAAGCAGTCTTGACTTTTACATGAAAGGAAGACTGGAAGTAAGCGAGGTCATCATTCTACAAAAATGGCTGAAGCTGCCGACCCTGGCGCCCCCCCCCCCCCCGGCCTGCCCCGACCGCAGCAGCGCTCTCCCCAGCGGGGCTTCGCCTGCAGACTCGCTCCAGCCCAAAGCCGCCCATTTCTGAAGCTTCAGCTTAGAAGTCTCGTACCTACTCCCCACCCGGACTGAGGAAGTCCTTCCCACTGCTGGGCTCCGTCACTTCCCCTGCTCACCCGCAGCGCACGCCCCTTTCAGCCCCTCCTTGCAGTTACATCCAAACTCTCACTCCCCAACTACGCCGATGAAGCCCACGCAGGATGAGAGTTGATGCGCTCTTGTCTCCCTCGGTGCCCGTCCACAAGGCACTCGACAAACAACGCAGGGCTCCACTCCACCCTCTCCCACCGACCCCGCGGCAGCAGACAGAGCTGCATGGCTGGTCCTCGCGGGACTCAGGCAAGGACCCAAGAAACGGCCCAGTGGCAAGAGGGCAGCCCGAGTCTGGGACTGATAAATTTTTCAAAATAGTAGTTAGTAACCAGTTTCAATGAAATATTATACCCATCTCTGTTGGCATCTAAATACTCATTTTCTAAAATGACATTTAGTTAGAAAACAGCAAGCTTGTTGACAAGCAGCCACCCTAAGCGTTGTCAAATTCCTGAGAATGAAATATTCTTACATTGCTTCTGCTTATCTTAAAGAACTATTTACCCTGAATCTTTTCAAAGGGAGAAAATTAGGTTAAAACAAGGGAATTCTCTGAAAAGTTATTTCCTTGTGTTTTTCAAGCAGTCTTTACATTAGCAGAGATGACACCTATTTAGGAAAAGCAGCTTCAAAATTTGACAAGCTAAGTTCCAAATTCAGAAGAAAAGATCAAATGAACATTCCAGCTCACAAAGTCATTTAGTTCAAGTTTTTAAAAAAATTGTCACTCATGAGAAAAAAAAGACCATACCAAGCTAATTTTAAAAATAACACTTGAAACAGAGAGAGGTATTTTTAAAAAGGCATAATAGTCTTATCGCTTCTGCAGCCTTCTTGGCAAACTGGAATTCTAAAGAAAATTATAACTTCATTAAAACATTTCTGCTCTAATTATTTTTATAATCTATGCCGACTCATCTGGGAATCAGGTAAGAATGGGCTGCGTACAGTCATTTGAAGTTGTATTTAAAAGACTCTCACAGAAGATGTGAATAATAATTGTAAATCACTGAACTAGGCACTAACCCTAAGTAACTCTGATGCTCTTCACAGCCCCTCACCTAGACACTCATGGGCGGGACACAGCCGTGCTCTTCACGGATAGCACAGAGACAGTGGACGTCTTCACGGACAAGTGCTAGACAACACACAGCGTGAGTGACCTGGTCCTACAGGAAAGTACGCTTGTCAGCGTGCGCGTGTAACAAACTCTGAGCCTTGTGACGTCCCTGAGGGGTGACTGCGGCTCAGCCTGAACAGAGATGGGGTGCAAGACCCTGGAACAGAGACTTCCTAGCAAGGGAAGACCACCTACCCAAACACCCTCACCCAAAGCTCTTCGTCCAGAGAAGACGGCGTTCAGAGCGGGCCCTCTGAGGCTCAGCCTCAGGCACATACCTGGTCACGGTGCTGACGGAGAAGTGGGACGGAGGCTGCACCTCGTGCATGAGAAGCTTCAGGTCAACGCTGCTTTGCTCCCTCGCCACGGCCACCACCGGGTCAGCCTGTCCTTGGTCACACGTGTAGAACAGCTTTGGGACAAGCCTAGCATGAAAGTAAGGTTCATCTACCTCAGAGAGCACAGGAAACCCCTGTGGGGCACCACCCTTCTGCACCCAGGCGGTTAAGGCTTGGAAGCTCTCCTTCCAGTAACCTCGTCAGCATCAACAAGCCACTGTCCTCAGGAAGCGCTGAGCACAGAGCACATCTGAATGCCACAGGCTGTCCCTTACTTTTTTGACTCTGTTGGCACGAGTGACCCACAACTCCCAGGTGGCAGAGCTCCAGCTGAGACCCCCACAGACTAACTGAGCTCCGAGGCAGAATACAGAACAGGAGGGCTCACTCCTGCGAGGGGCACTCCCCGCAGGCTGTGCACGAGTGCGCTCACACACCTACTGGTGGTCACGTAACTTGCAGAAGCAATCATTTTATCACATTGGTTTGCAAAGCCCATGAGCTTTAGTTAAAGTCTCCTCCATGAAGACCTGGTCATGAGCACAGTTTTTTTCTAAGGCATAATAAATTGCTATCGTTCACAGAAAACAGTAAAGATCCAAAATCTCTGATCAGGCAAGTCATAGAAATCCAGTTCAGCACATGAAAAGGTGCACCTCACAAGTAATCAAAGTGAGCAGGCAGCAACAACGAACGCTGAGATGACGGCCCCCAAAATGTACCTCTGCTTTTCTCTGAGTAGTTTGACTACAAAGATTTTTATTTCCTGTTTTACAGCTTCCCTAAGTTTTGTTTGAATGTATTAGTTTTAAAATAGGATAAAAGTCGTTTTAAAAAAGAAATACCAATGTCTGCTGAAGCAACAGACCCGTACTGAACTTATTTTGAAACACTTGTTTTGGTGAGACGACTCGGGCACAATCACACGCTGGCAGTGGGAGTGTGAGCTGACACGTTCCTGGAGAGCAACTTCACACTGAGGCATCAAACCTACGAACAGCCACATCTACGTATCCACCCAAGAGATGCTGCAAACATACAAAGTCTTCAGGGCAAGGGTTCAAGCAGCACGATTCACAGCAGTCAGAAAGTGGAAATAACAATGTCCCTAGGAGTGTCTAAATGAAGTGTCATCCACATGACAGAGCACTATTCAGCAATAAAGAGAACAGACTGCTGGAGCCTGCTACACAGCGTGGACAAGACCTCAAAAAGCAACCACAGGAGCCGGACAGAAAGCCGTCTGCTCACTGCGTGGTGCCGTTTACAGAAAAAGGCACAGAAGAGCCAGTCTCCGGAGGCAGGAAGCAGATCAGAGGTTGCCTGAGGCTGGGTGGGAACTGGGAGTTACTGCACGCGGGCACAACAGATCTCTCTGGGATTATGGAAATGTTCCAGAAATGGGCTGTGGTGAAGATTGCACAACTCTATATGTTTACCAAAAATCATTTAATTGTACACTTTAAATGGGTGAATTTTAAAGAGATGTAAAATTACACCTTAATAAATCTGTTAGGAAAAAACGTCAAAAAGCTGGCTTGGCCTATAATTCCAGGAATTAATACTAAGGAAAAAAATTATGTATAGACATTTATGTATGACAATAGTCACTGAAGTAACATGCATTATTTACATCAATAAAAACTTACTATCTGATCAAACAATATATAAAAATTTACCACAACTTCATACTGAAAAAATGGCCACTAACTAAAATTTTTTTCTTAAAGAGCAGTTACAGCCTTTACTTATCTCGCGCTGTTATGAAACGTCATGCGCTTCAGCACAAAAGTATGAATCCTTGAACCCAGGGTGCCACCCAAGCAACAGTGGCAGCTACAACTTCTTTTTTAGGAGAATGTTTTTAACAGGAAGATGCCAACGATATACTAAGAGGAAATTACCAGGTAACGCAGTCGCATGTACATCTTGCCCCAACTGTGAGAGATTAACTCGTACCCAGGACGTGCAGCAGAACGCCACCAGCGGCTCTCCCCAGAGGGAGCGCCGAAGCCAACGTCTCTCTCCTCCTCAGTGCTACTCTCTGTATTTCAAAACTGGGGCCATGAAACTTTACTTCGACAACAGGAGGCGAGTACTCTGCTGTTCTCGCTGTCACTTCAGACGCCTGTGAGTGAGTAAGGCCTTTGCTGACAGTTTCAGGAGTAGCTGAAAGTGAGCTCAAAGCCTCAGCACCGCCCGGGGCCTCTGAGCCGCTCCCTCTTCCACGCGCGCACCTCGCACACCAGGCAAAGCGTCACCAAGAGGTGAGCCCTCAGCAGATACCTCGTCAAAGAAGCCGCGGCGACATGTCGCACCCTGGGGTCTTCATCCCCGAGCAAGTGGATGACGACGTTATTGAGCACTCGCTCCTGCAGTTTGAGAAACTTTGGAAAGAGAGATAATACAAACAGATGAAATCTCTGTATTTACCCAAATGTTAGGTCAGCTACTTTGGAAAGCCAGTGAGGAAGAACTCAGCCCCACTAGTCTTAAATTCACACGTAACAACCACAACTCTCACGATCGAAACTGTGAAATAAACCTAAAACAGAATGCATTCTAAGAAGCTCTGCGCCACTGGGAAGGTGCGTTCCTGGAAGTTAAAACATAGCTTACCCCGGTGTAATGGTGAGCCCCTCTGTGTAGGCTGTCTGCTTTTGCCTCCAAAAAGCTCACCAACCTAACACAAAAGAACACATTTCACAATGAAACAATTCAGTTACTCGGCAAACGGCCACTGATGGATGGCCTGCAAGACTGACCGAGAGTGAAGGCGCAGGTTGCTGTTAATCCAAGAGCCGTGGAGGGCGGGGTGGGGGGCACCTACTTAAAGGCACAGAGTGACTAACGTTTTCAAACAAGCAGAATTTACATTCCTCTCATAACTGCAGGCTCAGTCAGATATACTCATTGAACTATTTTTCTTCAAAATGAATATAAACATCTGTTATTTTGAAAGACCCCAAGTGCCCTACAGAATGTTCAGCTCAAACACCCACCAAAGAAGTCAGGGGAGCAGATGGTGGGAAGGGGAGCTGAGACTCGGGCCCTCCCCGCTGACAGGCAGGTCACCCCAGACCCCATGCAGCACCCTGACTTCACGGAGATGTTCCGGGGGTTGAAAGGAAATGCCCATGAGGGGCACCCAGCCAAGCCGGGCGCATAACAAGTACTCTGTAAGTGGTGGCTTAAAAAACACGAACCCGTACAATAAAGGAAAACTTCCCTTCTGAAAGAAAGCACTGAAAAAAAAACCATTCTGAACCAAAACTTACTCTCAAAAAATGAAAAACTGCAAGAATCAGAAGTTACTTTTTAACTGCAACACGATACAAATCAGCAGTCTGACCCACGTTCCTTTTAAACAGCAGAAGTGACATAGGCCACGTTATTTTGGATGTCTGAGCTCCTCTTTCCATCCCGTCCCAGAACTTCAGTGACGCTGAGGGCAGAGCTGGGGGGAGGCAGCACCAGCCGCGCAGCCCTGACCCTGACCCGGGGCACTCGCTCGGCCGCCTCCGCTGCCCGCACCTGCTGACCAGCCCTCCAGCTCACAGGTCACACCTTGGAGCAGCTCTGGTCCTGCGACCCCGTGGTTCACTGACCTGAAGTCGATCTCGGCGAGGGTCTCCAGGAGCTCAGTCCTCACCAGCCAGTAGGAGCTGCTCCTCAGGGCGAGCAGGTCGGTGATGAGCTGCAGGCCCCACCGGCTGTAGCTGCTGCCGCAGAGAGCAGCAACGCAGAGCTGCAAGACACGCGGGCGGGCGGGCGGGCGGCTCAGGGGCCTCACGACCCTCACACACCCATCCCGTCTTCTTCTAACGGCAGCAGGGATGCTGCACTGCTTCTGCGTCTCAGAAATGTGTAATATCTACTCATCTCAGCAAACATGAGTTTAAAAGTGAGTGAGTGAGTCCCTTTCACACAACTTTTCTTCCTCCCGCTTCTGCCCCTGTCATGGCCCCTCCTCCCAGACACCAACCTCGCAAGCACTGACCAGTGGTAAAGAGGGAGACCGTGTGCCACATCACTGCTGCTGCTAAACCCAGGACCCAGGACCCGAGCCCCTTCTGATGTCATCGCCACCCGAGCACACAGGCCAGGGCTTCCTCAGCCGCACCCGTCCCTGCACCCCAAGCACACACGTGGGCGGGTCCACACGCGGGCTGACACATGCTGACACCCGGTCAGCAACTTCACCTGCTGCCGACACACCTCCCTCTGCTCCAGGACAGACAGACTGACTGCAACCTGGCAAACATTTGGAACTAAGGAACAGTTCTGGCCAGGCCATGAAATTTCAAAAAGGGAAGGTATCCCATACATTTGGTAATTGTAGGGTTTTTATTTTGACTTTTACTGGTTAATTTTGACTGCTGTTGACGGGTCAGTCGTGATTTATGACCCGACTGGTATATACAGTTCAGCACGTCACCACGTAGAGGATGGAGGCTATTCCGTGACACAAAACAAGGTGAGTAAACAGCCCCAATCTCACTGTAACTCAGTGTTCTATGGGTCTAAGAGTTGTTTTTTAATTCATCAGATTTTGCATTTAATGTGAGCAAGATATATTTCTAAATATACCCTTTATGAAAGGTATATTTCATACAAGTATTTTGAGAATTATAACTTAAACTAAAGTCTATTAAATTGTTTTGTTGGCAATGTTTTCTTTCTAAGGCTGAGTGGTGGATACACAGATGTTTATCACTGTTTAGAATGTCTGGAAATATTTAATATTAAGCTCCAGTTTTAATAGTAACGCTGGTAAAACTTCCACTAATCAAAGAAATCATTTCCACAAATGATCATGCTCACCCTTACAGCTGTGCAAGCCAACTTGCAAGTAACAGAAGATTCATCCTTCAAAGTTTTCTGCAGCAAAGGAATGCAGTCCGCCAGAGAAAATGTGTTTCCTGAGCAGAAGAGCAAGCAACAAGCGCCTTCAGGTCAATCTGAACTTGAGAATGACATCTAGCAAAGACAACACTGGGCAATGGCCGTTACCCGTCAGAGTCCGAACGGTGCCCATCCAGTCTCCCGCATGGAAGCGTGACCTGCTGAGGATGGAGGAGACGAGGGTCCCACAGAGAATGGCTGTGGCTCCTCTGACCTGTGGGTCTCCGTGGTCGATGTAGTTCAACACGTCTGACACGTACTGCTCGTCTGCGGGGAGAGAGTGCCCAGGCACTGAACCAGTCCCCACCATCAACTTCCCAACTCAGAGGAAAGGCTTAACTCCCAGGGAAGAAAAAGGGCAAGGGTGCAATCCACATCTAGAAAAGACTTAAATACAATAACCACCAGGGGTAAAAAATGTTTTGGGGTTTAAAGATTCTATATTCATCACATTCCTCATATTATTTGACAGATTATCTGGATCATAATTCCAGATTGTCAGCCAATAATCAAAATTCCAAGATTTAATTTCAAAGAAATGATTCGAGAAACTCAGACTAGTCCACACTCAACCTAATAAAAATTCAAAGCACAGGTTTGTCCCCTTGTCCAAAGAGAGAGAGACAAAGAGCAGGCAGGAGGCTAACCTGAGGAGTGTGCGGCTTCCCCCCGCCCGACACGTGCGCTGTGGGACGCTAGGCTGCTCCCGCTCCCGCTGGGCCCAGTTCCCACTTCCCACTGCCTCTGAGTGCGAACACCTGGCGTGGCTGGCATGACCCAAAGCATTCTGATTGTATACAATTTGTGCTTCTGGTATAAATCTAACACTAGCTCTTATGTTCCCAGATTTCTATAGATTTGTTGTGTGTTTCAACTAAACATCACATCTATAGGGAGTCCAAGAAGCTGAAAACATCACTGTTTATGTGTTTCCTGGAGAGCTGTAACAGTACAAATGCCACAATCAACTCAGAAAACGTACTGCTCTAAACCTAAAACAGTCAAGATGGTTTGAAATCATTTTCACAGCAACGGTTACACTGTTAACATACCAGGGTATTCCACGGTGTCCAGAGGGGATTTATACAGTTTGCTGAAGAAAGACTCGGGGTGAAGGGCCACAGCGGCTCCAACACAGCTGAGCGCCAGCGCCTTCACGCTGACCCTCACGTCCCTGTCTGGAGCCAAGGCTGCAAGAAAATCCATTGGGGTCATCTGTAGCTTCCCAGCAGCAAATACTGAGCTTCCAAATAAACAAAACTGGACCCACTAAACCAGCTGCCCCTCATCCCCTCCTCTCCCCTCCCGTCAGTCAGTGGAAACCAAAGCTCGGCCCCAGATTCTACCCCATCTGCTGCAAACACGAGGCACAGAGCTGGTGACCAAGCTGACCTCTGACACCTGAAGGAATTTCCTTCAGCTCTGCACCTGTCCTTCTATACTTACCATTTTTTTCCCCTGTTAGCAAAAACGAAGCAGATAAAAGGCGGACACAGTGGACAAGAGGAGCAGACTCGTCATCAGTGGACTGGCCTATGTCCCCTCTGATGCGGCACGGCTGGAACAGAAACACCAAAGAACCAATACACGTGCTCGCCAGTCCGCCCAGCAGACAGCTCCGGAGCAGCAGGCACGCCGGGCGCGCGGGAGGGACGCCCACTTGGCCCACGCACGCCCGCCCTCACAGGCGCGGCGGGCAGAACTGGACGGGTCATGTGGGCTGTGTACGGATGAGCTCAGTGGTTAGAGAGGGAGCACCGGACAGGAGCACAGCTGAGACTCGGCATCAGGAAAGACCCTGGGCAAAGCCCGGAGCTGAGAGGGCGGGGGCCTGGCGCGAGGGCACCCAGCAGGAGCTGCCCGGGCTGCGATAATGACTGAGCATCCGTGGCGGGACGCCCAGGGTGGGACGAAGCACCAAACACTATTTCTCACCCCCAAGGAATTTAAAATTAACTGGGAAGACAGGACACTTACACGGAAAAAGGTAAGCAATACAGAGACATTTTAAAAGCAGTTCAATAGACAACTCAGTAAGAACAAAAACCCCAAACAGCCTGATTACAAATGGGCAGAGGCTTGAACAGATGTTTCTCCAAAGAAGACATAAATGGCCAAAAAACACAAGAAAAGATGCTTAATATCACTAATCATTTAGAAATTCAAGTCAAAACCACACACCCAGCAGGACGGCTACTCTAAAAAAACCCCAGAAAATAGTAAGTGTTGGAGAAGATGGGGAGAAAACGGAGTCCTGGTGCACTGTGATGGGGGAAGGTGAAACGGTACGGCTGCTGTGGAAACAGTATGGTGGCTCCTCGAAAAATCAAAAATAGAGTTGCCATATGATCTAGCAACTCCACCTCCGCTACGTACCCACAAGAGTTGAAATCAGGGTCGTGATGAGATATCCGTACGCCCACTGATAGCAACACCACTCACAACAGCCAAAAGGCGGGAGAAACACAAGTGTCCATCAATGAACGAACAGAAAGTCGAAGTGCGGTGAGCACGTATAAAGAAATATTTTCCAGTCTTAGAAGGGAAGGAAACTCTGACACCTGCTAAACATGGCTGAACCTTGAGGACATTACGCCGAGCGAAGCAAGCCCGACACAACAGGACAAATCCTGCCCACTGAGTCCACTGATGCGAGGGGCCCAGAGGAGTCCAATCCACAGAGACAGAAAGTAGAGTGGGGGCGGTCAGGGGTCAGGGAGGGACGAATGGGGAGTCAAGTGTTTAATCAGGTCAGAGTTTCAGTCTGGGAAGATGAAAAAGCTCTGTGCACAGCTGGTGGTGACAGCTGCACAGCAGTGTGAATGCCCCTAATGCCACTGAACTGTGCACTCAGAAATGGCTGTGATGGTAAATTTCATGTTATGTGTATTTCACCACAATAAACAAATCAATCAATTCAATGGAATAGAAACAAGAAATGCTGCAAGGCCATGCACAGCCATCAAGCGAATGGTGAGAGGAATCGGGGGAGGTGGCCTTCAGTGGGGACAGATTTTTCCAGGCAGGACTCCCAGGGAAGCAGAACTCAGCAATCCTCAAGGACGTGCGTCCTACTTGGAGAGGCAGAAAAGGCAGGCCTGGGAAGAGGGCAATATTTAAAGGGGAAACAGAAAAGCAGAAGCCCAGGGACGGGGCAGCTAAGAGCACAGCAGGCAGACAGGCCGGGGTGACTGCCGACGCTCCCGGAGCTCGCGTGCGGAGCACTCCCAGGCCTCGCTCTCACCTTGCTTTCTTGATCTCCGTCCCTCGAGGCGACCTTATCTGTGCTGCTGTCGGAGGGCTGCCTGCTGTGGCCCGGGCTTCTCAGTAGACGCGCTGGACGCAGGGCTTCACAAACGCAAAGTCAAGTGAAGTGACAGGTTTCCAATTAAAGCACAAATACACTTATTTACACAAAGTCAGCATGAAAGTACAGGGTTCAGATCAAGAAAAAGGATGATCACTCCTCAATTACCTGCCTCACTGCTATTTGCAACCCAGGAAACAAAAATATCAAAAGACTTCTTGGGCTGAAAACAAGGCCACTCTGTAGACATCGCCCGAAGTCAACTTACCAGCAGAAGAGCTCCTGGAAGAGTCCTCATCAGGAAGGGCACCTGCCATGTCCTCGTCCTCGTCCTGGTCCTGCGACTGCCCCGCCTGTATCCCCACACACTGGCCGTCGGCACCATCTAACACCTAAACGGTTGGGAGGGGCTGTGAGAGCGCTGGAGTCTCAGCGCCACGGGGCGAGCCCTCCGGCGTGCAAAGGGAACGGCAGAAGCCCACAAGTGACACAGACCACATCCTACGTGCTAGCACAAGGTCACCTCCTCCAGTGCACACAGGTGCCCGCACACAAGCTGTGAGGAGCTCACTGACCGCACGCTGCCACTCCCTCATATCATGAAATGCTTTTACAACATTAAACTTCCAAAGAAATTTCAATCTGGACATTTCTCTCTTAAAAAAAGAAAAAAATCCAAACAAATGTCTTCGTGTTCAAAGTAAGTCAAAAATGAGGAAGAACCTTTTAGACAAAAGCCTAACAATGTTGTAGGTTATCTACCAACTCCTAGGACTGAATCAACTAAGTTTTGGGCATAATATTTCATTTATTTAGCCATATACTTGGGTTATGATTTCATAAAGTAGAATTTTTCACATCCGCTTGAAATCCCACGTAACTGACCTGAAAAACTGGGTGATGGACTCTCAACATGCTAGTAAATTACTAACGAAATAAATTTTATATCATTAAAAAAAAATCATTCCAAATCCTTCCATTTAACTTTTTTTTAATTGAACTACGTGGTCAAAAGCAACCAAGAAATAATTTCCTCCACTCTCCACCCTCCAGATTCGTTTCCAAAATAAAAAAACAAACAAACAAGCCACCCAGGGTAAAATGAGACGTCCCACCACAGTAAACAACCATGTTCCCTGAACGCACACGACAGCCCAGGCGGGCCCCGAAGCACTCCCTGGGCACCGCCTCCCTCATCCTCCTGAGGCTCGCAGCATGGGCACTGCACCGCCTCCAGGTGTGGACAAGACCAGGCAAGAAGGGGCACGGCTGCTCTGGGCGACACAGGGTGACGGGCAGAGCGGGACAGTCACCGTGGGGCGCCGAGTCAGGTCTCGAACCAGCACACCAAGCTGCCTTGTGAGGAACCCGCCCCTCACCTGGCGCCTGGCCGAGCGCTCACCTACCTGCTGACTGATCACCGGCTTACGACCTGCCCGCCACGCGCACACTCCAGAGCAGAGGCAGGCACATGGCGGCTACGGGCCAACCTGGCTCGCCACCAGTGTTCGTGCATAAAGTTTCTCACTCGCTTACTTACACAGTCTCTAATGATTCTGCACCACGATAGCAGAGATGAGGGTGCAACACATGCTGCCCAGCTCACAAAGCCAAAGACCTCCACCAACTGGCCCTACCAGACAGAGCCTGGCGGGCCTGACGGTGCCTACCCTACAGCGCCCGCTTCGTGCGAGCAGTTTTACGCACGGTGTCTGCCATTCACCCCCGCCTGTAGAGCAATCCCTGGAACAGAACAGGTGCTCAGGACATTTATTCAGCAAAAATTAAAGATTAAATAAAAGGCATGGAAACACCTCCCAATCTAGAAAGAACTACACCAACGTGAGAAATATCAAGGGAAGATGTTCAGCTCCCCGCGGGCCAGGGAGGCTGGTGCGGGCCTCCCTCCCGGCACTGCCTCGCCGGGAACACCTGCCGCAGCTCCCCCGGGTGGGACGCCTTTCCAGCTCCCGATGGTCATTCAGGCCTAATTCTGACAAACTTGCCCAGAAAACACCTAGTGTTCAAAGGCAAGATGGAGGCTGGTGCGATGAACAAACAGCAGAGACTCCTTCCGCACACCCGACACACTGCCCAACACTCCGCTGAGCCCGCGTGCCCCGCCTTCTCCTCCCCTGTTCCTGGTCTGCACGTTCACCCTCACTGCTTCAAATCACGTCCCACCATTCCAGTCACCTGTCCTGCCCTCCTCCACGTCTTCTAGTTAAACCCTAACTCTGAGCCCACTTCTCCAACCAAGCAAGTGGAAATCCACGCAGCCACTGGAAGCCACGCCCACATGACAACCAGACAACTGCCAGAGGGACGTGCAGGGGCTTCACCCTGTCATTTTAACTCAATGTTTCTGTGTTCAGTCAAGTAAAAGAAACACAAAAACAAAACTGTATTCTTAATAAAATATACTCGATAACAGCAAGACAATTAGCAGCACAAACGGTTTATAAAGAAAATCGGGCGGTAACACCAGTCTGCACCTGTGCCAAACTTTGTGATTAGATCGTGCTTGAGGTGTTTCTTTTCTACTAACTCAGGGATAACTCCACGCCCTATAAAATGGGATACGTTTTAAAAGTTTTTGAGAAGTCAGAGACTGTAAAAATAATGCACAGCATTAACATTATCAATCACACTGCATGAAGACCACAGATCTGTTAGTAATAGGCTCCTTAAGGATTTTCAAAATAATGATTTAACCTGTGCCCAATAAGGTATTAAAAAATTTTAAATGCACTCAATTTTAGGAGAGTTCATATCATCGACCAATCTAAATTCTGAGCTCCACATTCAACACAAATGACACTGTTTCCTTTGGCAAGGGTCTCAGACAGAGTCAAACGATCCACGGCTGATCTGCCCCAGTGGCCTCTGCACTGTTACAGGGGGTCAGATGGACGCAGTGAGTAAACGGGAGGCCCAGGTGCCCAGACCCTTCTCAGGTCACTCCGCCCACTCACAATCTCAGAGCTGTCTGAAGGGGTCACGGCGGAGTCGGGCCCTTCGGTGGTGGTCTGGGAGCTGTCACTGACAGGTGAGGAGGCCTGGGTCCCGTCGTTCTGGTCCATGGCAGGGTCGGATGGAACGGCGCTCATCTGGCTGGAGCTGCGGCTCAAGATATCCTCCTCGTCGCCGTCGGTGGCAGTGCTCGCCAGGTCGCAGCCCGTCAGGTCCGTTGAGTCCGGCTGCAGGGTGTGCTGTGAGCGGGGCTGCTCAGTGATGATGTCGTGGCCCCCGGGGTCGGCGGCCGAGCCGGCCGAGCCGGGAGTGGAAACCCCAGAAGAGGCAGCCAGCTCTCCGCTGAGCTCATCCTTGACTGAGGCTGAAGACACAGAAACACTCATTCTTCAAAGGGTCAAGAAGAGCTTTCAGGAGGGAATCAAGTGTTTGCAAAATACCCCAAAATTCACTGTTAACAAATGTTTTAACTGCAAAAAAATCCTGAGATACAAGCAACAGTGTACCCTTCACACATCTCACCGTGCTACTTACGTACCTTTTACTGCACTACTGCTTCGTGTGGCAATACGGACAGCAAGCAGGCAGTCTTTAAACGCTATGAACATTCTGAAGTGGCGTTTCAGCGCGAAATTAAAGTCCGCCTGGCAACCTGACCACTTCAAGCTCATAACAACTGCTCCGGCCGGAGCCTGGGGGAGCATGCAGACCTGGGCGACTCCCGGGCAGCCTGGTCAGGGGCACCAGGCTGGGCGGTCACAAAGTGCCCAGAGCTCTAAGCGAAGGATGCTCTCTGAGGCGGGCCCTCCTCCCCAGCCTCTATTCAAGACCTCCAGGCCAGACCTACTCTCCTGTAGCATCCAGTTTCACAATTTCCTAGGTTAGTTTTCAAATTCCCATTTAAAAAACACCACCGCTACACAAAAACCACTACAGAAATGCTCCCACCAAGCCGTGGGCAGTGTCGCCCTGGAGGCCGGGCGCAGCGAGCCAGTGCGCGCCCACACCTCGCAACGTGCACGGCTGGGATTGTTCTGACTTTATTTTTGTAATTCAAAAAACCAACTTCTGTTCTTTAGAATAAATCAATAAATAAGTAATCACCACTGGAATTTATTCAGATTTCCCTTCCCAAATATTTTAGCCTCATTTTCAGTTATCTAAAGACATTCTTTTGGCCAGGGTTACAATCCAAACCACCCCTAAATCCAACTGTTAGTATCTCAGTCCATACTCTTCTTTCAAGAGATGAAGAGAGTCTAATTAAATAGCTGTCTGTTAACAAATGTAGATTTCTTTCAAGTTAAATTAGCCTCAATTTTCAATCCTGCTTTCCCCCTCACAACCCATGCAATTCATGACACACCATCCTCTTTGCAAAAAGACTAACACATGGGAGTAGAAACCTAATTTTACAGCAGCCTAAATCAAGGAAAACAGCAAGTATTTGACGCAAGAAAACACACACATTTCAGAGCCAACACTACAAAAAATGCTGGAATGATCCGCCATTTGGGGCAGGCTGGCTTCCTTGCTGCCCCCTAGGAGCACGAGCCGCTGCTGCGGCAGGGGTAGGAGAGGTGGAGCCAGCAGAGGGAGGAGGGGGCACCGCGAGGACCCGCGAGGACTACCTGTGAAGGCAGGGCTGCTGCCATCCGACCGAGACTCAGAGTCGTCTTCCAGGGCCGCTGCTTCTCCAAAGAGCACCTTCCCTGGGAAACGTGGGGGCGAGAGTCCTTTTAAGCTCGTGAAAAGGGAGAACTTTGAAAATTAAATGAATGCACATTCTAAGAGAAAAATCTTAAGTCTATTTAATTCATGCATTCATGCACTTTGTCATTATATGTAAGCACTTGTATACGTCTGGAGAGCTAAGCACAAAAGATGCAGATGCTGTATATAGATCAATAAGCCCATGTGAAAAAAGCTAAAAGCAATGATTCTCGAAGTATTTCAATAATTAACGAATACCCACTGACAGACTACTGTTAGCGTCAAATAATTTATGTTACTACTTACTCTTAGAAACGAATAAGGAAGGACTAGAACGGGTTCTGCCAGCCCTTGGGATATTCGTGTCGTGTGTCCAACGCCACGGGAGAACTTACATACAAAACTTTTATACCTAAAGGTCACTTTTACTTTATTACCTTTTAATTTGCTAGATTTCTATGGTTGATACTCAGAACTCAAGCACTGCATGGTCTGGGAGGATGGAATATTTTATCTTTTGCGAAGTTCTAGAAGCACATTTTACAGTTCGTGATTTCCAATTATGTTAATAAGAAAAAAGAAAGCACAAGTCTTAGCATAATTTAACTGGACTCATTAAATCATGCTTACATCACATACAAATGCCACTAAGTAACACCACCAAAATGATTATTGGCAATTTCCAATTTCTATTTCACTGCCCTTCAGAGAACAGGGCAGAGATGCGGTTACTCCACAAGCCTAGGCTGATGTGCCGTTGAAGCGGCCCCTCCGATAAAAGGCAAAGGGAACTCAAAGTCCAAATGAAAACAACACAGCAGCTCGGCTACTAAGTAACAGGGACACTTACTGCAGGACAGCGATTTACCCTAAGAAAGCAAGTAAAACCCCAGCCTGTGAGTTCACGCTAACGGAAGCAGGCTCTGCTCCGGGAACAGCAGTCTGCACACCTGCTCCAAGGAGCTCTGCCCACGAGCGGGCAAGCGTCAGGCTGCCACCAGAGAGGGGACTCCGGGCCACATCCCCACCCTTGCCTGACCTCACATCCAACGACAGCTCAGTATTTTACTTATGTATGCTCTTACGCATTGGCAGATTTCCCTTAAAAAAAGAATTCTGCACTACAACAAAAAAGTTTGAAAAACACAGCTTTACATGAAAACAGCAGCAATAAAACGCTAGAAAAAGAGAGACTGAGGACAAACTCCATGTCCCAGCCCCAAGAAAACAAAGAATCTCAACCCATGCATCAGGCATCTTTTTACCATTATTGGAAAGAGTGACCAAGAAACACACAAGGCAAGTACCAGCGAATCTGGCCCCAGGCCCGAAAGTCTCTCCTAGTCCCAGAACGGAAAGACTAGCTTTTCCCAGGAGCCTGGTGGCTTTCTAACCATCTCGGTGTTTTCACCAAACTTTCAAACTTACTATCCCACGCTGTGACAGCTCACATATTATTCATTCTAAGCTCTTCTAGGAAACGATTACTTAATTCAGCCCAGGCCAGAACAGGGTCCCTGCTGAGACCCCCACTCAACACCACAGGTGACCCTGGGCACCAAGCTCTCAGTCAACTCACGACAAAGAAAGAGCAGTGTGTGCTATGCGATTACAATTACACCTCAAAAAAAAAGAGGACGACTGGTCCCCTAGGATTTCAAAACAGAAAACAACAGTTCTTTCCTATGGAAGTCCAGACTGGAGAAAATAACTGGGCTGTCAAGTGGTAACATACGCCAAAACGATCAGATTACACCAGAAACACTCTGATGCAATAAAAATACATCAATTTTATCAGAAACCTTAGATCTGTACAAAGCTAAATATGGCTGGAAAATGAAAACCAGGCCCAAATTAACCAAATAATTAACCAAATGCTATTTCTGACTAATACTAGTTACCTTTATAAAACATAACCCAGTCCCTGAAGCAGGAGGAGCTGGCTGACCGCGGCCGCCCGCTTCTGTGAACAAGGCTGGACTGGGCAAGAGCTGCCCCGCGGCCCAGTCTGCCTGCGGCTGCCTCACCCCACGAGGCAGTGAGGCCCACGGCTACAGGCGCAGCGTAAAGTCGGCTGACCCCGACCCAAAGCATTAGAAATTTATGACAAAGCAATTCTGATACACAAGGAATTTAAAAGCCACCCGACAGAACTATTCAGGCCTAGTTATCAGATTCCAGCAACGTCCACACACACAGTCACTCTGCTGAGAGAAGGGACAGGCAGAGCCAAGTGCGCTACAGAGGCAGGGAAAGAGCAGTAAGAGGCACCAAGACTGACTTCTGAAATAATCACCTTTTTGTTTTCTTGAAAGGACAGGGCTGCATGAGGAACCCCCTCCAGCTGTAAATCACAGAAGACGACAGGTGAAAATAAGGTAACCAGCTGCTAAAATCCAGGAGGAATTAGAAAATCTTCACACTTGCTTCAACTTTAAAACCAGAAAATACGTGAACACGTTTCCACAGGTGATGCTCAACGACCCCACTGTAACATGGAAACTGCAGTTACAATTTTAATTTCAACATGAAACTTATACTAACACTCAAATACGTAGTTTCGAAGATACGACTTAAGATGTCAAAAGAGCTCAAAGTGCATTGAAAAAGACAAACTAAAAGCATGAGAAATCTCACATTACTTGGTCAACTGATAATTAAACAAATTCTCGTGAGACACAATCATCAGAAGTTAGCATTTCTCCAGTTACTTGTGAGGCAGGCACTCCACAGAGAGCAGGCCTGGCCAGTACAGAGGACAGTGAAGAGGCAGACACCATTTTCCACTCATACGTTCCAACGAGGGAGCCATCAGACCCGCTCTGCCCGGCCTGTCCGTGCTGTGCATCAGGGCTACGCCGCGCCCACACGCAGGGCCCGGCTCGATGCAGGCTCAGCAGAGGCCACAGGAGCCTCCTCCGGGCAGACCCAGCTCCAGGGGCTGCAGTCCAGTGGGGGTGGGCAGGCCAGGGGAGGGAGCGCATAGACGGGGCAGAGGAGGTGCCGTGGGAGGAGCAGCAGACGGGTTTTCTAGGATCAGGCAGGACAGCGAAAAAGGACCCCGAGGGCAGGAAACGATTCCAGAATCCCAGGGAGACATGAAGATCTCATCTCTGGCAAAGGGACACAAGGGTCTGAAAATACTTTCCCTAACGTTTTCGCTTTGTGACAGATGAAATGCCACGTGGAGGCGGCCGAGTCTGAGTCAGGAGGCCGGGCTTTCTGTGAGGACCTCAGGGCGCCACCGAACCCTCCCACCGTAGCTCCCCGCTCAGAACAAGGACGGAAGTCTGGGAGGAATCAGGGCACAAACTGTTGAGCACGGTGGGGCCCACAGTTCACCAGGGGGACAGTGTTCCTGCAGGGCGGGTACAACGCCTCACCCAGAAGCTCCACGATGCTCCCACTGCGGCTCCGACAGCTGGGCTCGTCCTTGGCGGCGGTGAGCTGCCCAAGGCCGCCCGCCGAGGTCAGCGCCTGCAGGAGCTCGGGCGGCGGGGTTCGGAGGAGCTGCTGCAGGAGTTCCAGTGCGCTCGTCACAACGTTGTGGTCTTGGTGCTGCGTGTAATGCAAGGTCAGCTCGTAAACCTGGGAACAGAAAGACCAGTGTCATTCCCCTGGCTTTTAAAGCGTGGCCCAGGCTTCACGTTTCTTGCCGGTCTGTCCTACGCTGGCAAAACTTGTGTCCGAATTCCCCCCCTAGAAGTCTCTCTATCAGTTCCACCAGTGTGATCTTCAGCTTCCATGCTGTTTTCTAAATTCCCATGATTGTTCTTGGTTTTATTAAGTCCTTGAAAATAAACAGGGCACTTGCACAGGAGCAGAAGCCTAACGAAGAGCTCCATCTCCCTAAACCAGGACGAGCGGAGAATGAAGACACACGCTGAATGAGTCAGAAGCACTGTCCTGAGCGCCACTGAGAAAGGGTTTCCAAAGCCTTTAAAGGCATTACATCAAACGTTATCAGTGCTTTTAATACTGTATCACATTATGTGAACATCATGAATTTATTCTTTCTGCCTTTAATCAGAGGTGCCAGATAAACTAGAGTGCTCAGTTAAATTTGAATTTCAGATAAACTATTTTGTGCAGCAACACAGATAGACCTAGAGTTTGTCATTCTAAGTGAAGCAAGCCAAAAAGAGAAAGAAAAATACCATGTGGTAACGCTCATATGTGGAATCTAAAAAAAAAAAAGGACACTATGAACTTATCTACAAAACAGAAACAGACTCGCAGACATGTATCAGTCTGTGAACAATCTTACGGTTACCAGGGAAAGGGGGAGAAAGGGATAAATTTGGGGGTTTGAGATTTACAAATGTTAGCCCCTATATATAAAAAAAGATTTTTTTTTAAGTTTCTTCTGTGTAGCACAGGGAACTATATTCAGTATCTTGTAATAACCTTTAATGAAAAAACATGAAAAGGAATATATGTATGTATATGCATGACTGGGACATTGTGCTGTACACCAGAAACTGACACATCATAACTCACTGTGCTCCAATTAAAAAAAAAAGATAAACAATTCTGTAGTAAAACTATGTCTCATGCAATTTCAGGCAAATGACTGATGATTTACCCGAAATTCAAATAACTGACTCTATTTTTATTTGCCAAATGGGCAGCCCTACCTTTAATATCATAAAAGTAACAGATACGTTAAAAAAAAGTATGGAAGTATATAAAATGAAAGGTAAAAGTCTCAAAGGTAGCTACTTTTACTCGTTTGTTTTTAGTTCTTCTGAGGGTCACCTCCGTACCTCTGTGTCACGGGTCTGCAAACTACAATCCACAGGCAAACTGGCCAGCCAGCTGCTTGTGCACATCAGGTTTTACTGGAGCATGGCCATGTCCTGTATCGTCTGTGGCTGCTCCCCTGCTACGGCAGGGGAGATGAGTAGCTGGCTCGTTACAGAGAAAGACGGCTGCCCCTGCTCTACATAGCAGCTTACATCTTGATTTCTGCAGCCGTATACTTTGAACAGACTCGTGACTCCTAATGTGTAAAACGAGGGCCCAAGCGTCCCACACCCCCTTCATCCACGGCCCCTCCCAAATTCTGTTAGCAACACCCCCGCCTTCACATTATTAATGGTTAGTTACAACACTTCCAGACTACTCTGTAACTTTCAAAATCATTGCTTCTGCCCAGAAGTTGAGCCTAAAAACTCAAGTAAAAACCGGTATGTGCCTCAGCCCATGTCATGTGTGCACAAACGTCGCTCATCGCAAGGTCCGTTGCTGTGACTGGACCCAGAAAGAAAGAACTATTTCACTATTACTAGTCCTGGGTGGCCTGGAAGAGAGCATCCCAAGGATGCTAGTTACGTGGATTCTCTGTTATTACCATCCATTACCTGCTTAAAATCATTCCTCATTTTAATTTGCTTCACAACTGGGTAACTTTCTTTCATAAATCTTCCTGGTTTTACCTTCCTTGTTAATACACACACACGCCTTGCCTTTTTCCCAGCTCTTAATCATAACGTCAGTGGCAGGGAGCTCCCTGGAGCTCTGTGGACCGCCTGTTTCCAACCTGAACAGTGCCCTGCACCACCACCGCCTCGGAACTGACTGCTTCTATCACACTCCTGGGTTAGGTGCTTTGTTTCTTGCATCTCAGGAATTCCTTTTCTCTGTGTATCTACTTCTTGTTTTGCTGGAATACATCTTCAAATACTGTTTTCAAAAGGCATATAAGAAAAGCAAACTAAATTCTTGCATATGAAAGAGTATGTATATTTTGCCCACAACTGCTTAGCCAGGCCCAGGATTATTTTAAATTCTATTTAAATATAGTTAGCCAAACCATACTGGCTTAGTTGAGCTTCTTAATCAGAATAATTTAATTCAGAATGGCCATTCGTCAAGAGAAAATGTGTATGTTTTAGAGATAATCTTATCTGGCCTGCTAATTCATCAAGGCACCGTGCTATTTAACCACTTTGGAGAAACAGCTACTAAGAACATGGGTAATTAGTGAAGCACATACCCCACGCCCCTCGACCCCGCCCTCCCAGGGTGACTGCCATTAGCGCCACAGTTCTCAGCACCCGCGCCGCCGCCTCTGTCACCAGCACCCTCTCACCTACGAGAAGCCGGGCTCCCCCTCGCTCACACGCGCTCTCCCCCTTACTCCATGGACTTGGCAAAAGGTGCAGTTCTGTCGTAAAACTCTCCTCCCAACTCCCTGTGCCTGGCCAAATCCTACTCACCCCAAAGCACCAGCTCGTAACTGAGCCTCTCCAGCACACCTCCCTGACCCTGATCATGCAGGGGGTCCCCCACTGCGTGCTCCCACAGTGCCCTGCACCCCACACCCTACCACGCTAGTTAGTGATTGCTTGCTTCTTCAGTTAGACCAAAAGTCTCCAACCTTCTAAGCACCCTGTTTTTTAATAAACATCAGAAAAAAACTCTGAGTGTGCAGTCCCAATATTTATTTATTTTAAAATACCATACATTATGTAGATTATAAACTATGCACTAAATCTGACAAGCCTCTAAGCTCCAGTTATCAATTTAAGGAAATGCAGAAAACAAAGAAACATGTTCATTTACACAACAGAGCATCAGGGAATAAATCAGATTGCTGGGAGTTCCACAGGACAATCTGTTTCTTCAAAAAATGAACTCTAAGGGAAAACCAGAGGCGGAAGGGAACCATCAGATCAAAGAGATTCACAATTCTTATCAAGCAGTCTTACTTGGGTATTGATTCCAAAAGGGCAGAGGAAAGACCGGCAGTGGATGAGAGGGCACTTGATGTGATAAAATGTTATTTTTAGGTGTCACACTGGTGCCATCATTAAGTTTTAAAAACAAAGAATCCTCCTCTATAGGGATACATATGAAATACTTGCAGATAAAATAAGACAGTGGTTGGAATTTGCTTTAAAATGATACAAGAGGGAGAAGGAAATGGGATTCTAGGTAAAACATGAGTTGATAATTACTGAAGTAAGTGATAATTACTGGAAAGGGTTCACTATACGCTACGCTGTCTGCTTTTTCTGCGCCTGCAAATCTCCATAATAAAAAATAAAAACAAACAACAAAACAAAAAACAAGGTAAGGAGGAAATAAACTACTTTTCAAACTTATTTATTACCACTAGAAAACCTTTTTCACTCACGAAAGCACTCGCTGATGACTTTTCGTGAGGGCAGTGTAATTAAATGTCCTGTCTCATGCGACAGTCACTGCTTGCTGCCTGTAAGTCACTGGAGGGCAGCTGGTCACCTCGGATCTCTGGGCCCTGACGTTCTCTCAGAGCCCACTCCTGCTGAGTCATCTACTACCAGCCAGCACCGCGGGGCCAGACCACGCGCCGAGACCGACGCTGAGCGCTTCACAAATGTGACATAAGTTGACACTTAAGTCATCAGAATTCCCTTTAACGCATGATTTCTAGTCAAGAATCATTTTGATTCTTACAATTGTGTATCCTACAAAACTCACAAATCCAGCTGACCCAAACACCTATTAAACTGCAATGCAGACTACAGACCACTAACAGCAGACAGACCCGGGCTGGGGGCCCCAGCCCTTTGAGGAGCCCTGTGACCACCTGGCTCACAGGAAGGGCGAGGCTTCGACAGCACCCAGGACACTCAATACATAACATTTTAAGTAAAACTCACAAACTCCAATTGCTTAAAATGTGGCTGTGTTGGTACCAGGTTAAGGAACCACGTGGGTGAGCGGGCTGCCCAGGACTGACGTTGTCTGCCTGTCCCATAATAGCAGAATTACTGGAGACTTCTCAGCAGTAGACAGAGAAGCTATGACCTGTGTCCCCACCCGCTGGGTGCACAGACTCATGTGCCCGACCACAGGTTCCCAGGGGCAGAAACCACATCCAAAACACTCAGTGCCCAGTGCCAGCACACAGTAGGTGCTCAGCAAACATTTAATGAACGGGGCACACTATTTTAGAAACAGAAGTAACACGCCCGGTAACCTTATTGGGGACTGCCTTCATCTCACTCTGACATCACTACCATACAGAGGTCGCGCAGCTGGGGGTCGTGACGCAGGGCCTGTACCCGGTGGCCAGCTAGAGTCCGCGCCCTCAAGCCTCGGCCCTGCGCTTCTCTCCCTAACGAGCTGGGCCCGAGTGTCAAGCACTTACAAGCACTTACTGCGCTAGAGGAGGGTGCAGGGCACCTACCTGGCCAAGCTGCTCCGCCGACGGGGAGACTTCCATTTCTTTCCGGGTCACCCCAAAGCTGCCTTTGAGGCTCGTGTCCTTGACCTGCTGCTGCAGCAAGGGCACCAAGCACCTCAGTGTGAGCAGAACCCCGAGAGTCAGGAGGGTGGGGGGCTCCTCCGCAACAGGAACGAGCAAGCCTACAGAAGCAGCGACAAGACTCTGTGACATCCGAAGCATGGGGGGGGGAGGCTCCTGCCTAGCTTCGCTTGTTGGTCTGACCCACAGAGACGCGCACAGTGGGGCGGGCGGTGAGTGACACAGATGGCACGCCTGCCGCCACGCGTCTCACCGAGCAGCCCAGCCCGGGAGCACTGACAGGGGCAGCCTTCCCAGCGGGCGCCGCTGCCCAAGGGTGAGGCAGCTCCTGCCACCTGCTGTGCACAGCGCCCCACAGCACCCACAGCGCTAGGCTCCACCGCCGCCCCAGCACAGGAGAGAGCTGAGCTACACACGGCAGGGGGGCTCCCCGCTCCCCTCGCAGGGGCCTGAGCCTTCGCCACAGGTCCCGACTCGGGCTGCGCAGCTCTACTGCGAGGTGGGGTAGGACCAGGCCGCTGCATCCGCTCAACTGCACGGAGAGGCCTCATCCCACCTCGTTCACGCCAATCGGGCAGCCAGGGCCAAAGGGGCCGTCCCGACGCTGAGGCGCCGGCTGACTCACAAGTGAAGGCTGGAGCCCCCGCCCCGCAGGGAGAGTCCCGACCAGGCCCACACCTCACCTAGGAGCACGCTCAGCAGCCAGCTGTAGAAGTACTGCGTCCTCCGGGAGTGCTGACAGATGCTGACCGCAGAGCTGGCCGCCGTGCGCCGCACGGTAGGGGAGCTGGACTTCAGATTCGCTATGAAAGCCTTGAGCAGAACCTGTGGGCGCAAGACCCAGGAGATGGAAGATGAGCACCCATGAAGCTGGTCATGCAGTTCAAGAAACTGAGCTTGCTCCAAATTCTTGCAGAGTATAAATTATAAGCAATTTGTGGCCTTCCTAGAACTGAACGGAAGCACCCCAAATCTGGGATCTTGCACAGAAGTTTGCAAACATGTAGCCTATTTAGTTCGTTCTAAACCGCAAGCGGGGACTCGCTCAGCACCTACATCCTCCGCATCTGAGTGAAAGGTGTACCCACAGTACCTGGGGACGTGGTCAGTGAACGAGACGGTGTGAAATAAACGCAGTTCAAAAAATCGACCGATAAGGAAGCCCAGGAGAAGCGTGCGAGCCACCCAGAGCAACGCCCCGGCCCCAACGACAGTCGGACACGTGCCGCTGAGTCACCAGGAGACGCTCTCAGGTCTGGAGAGCACAAGCAACTGGCCTGAGCTGAGGCCACGTGCTGCTCAGGTATTTCCTCAAGAAATCAGAGGATTATGAATCAATAAAAAATGTAAAAAAAAAAAGAAAAAAAAGAAAAGAAATCAGAGAGTAAGACCCAGCGCAAGTCCTGGGCCCCCGGGACGGCCCAGCAGGGGGCGCTGTGACTCTCACGGCGGCCAGGCAGGTCTCCACAGAAATACCCACAGCCTGTCGAGGGGTGACCATCCAGCTGCGTGAGCTCGGTGGCTCTGCCACTTCGGGGCGGCTGTTCCCCATTGTTCCAAACTACGCTCGGAGCAACGACCGGCCCAGTGGCTGCCGGAGTGCGTGGAGGACTGCTGGGCGAGGCAGGGACCCGCCAGGGCCCCATGGGGGACCTGATCACAGGCAGACAGCAGCAAAGTCACAGACTGGCCTCTGACTTGCAAACGAGCTCCTCCCTAACAGAGTGGTGAACATAAACCGGTTCTCAGGGGCTCAGCAACGCCCAGGGGACTCACAGATTAGACATTTGGAACCTGAGCAGCGGGGGGACGGCCCCCCGGCCACAGGACACCCCTGGGGACACCACCCAGAGAAACCACTCAACTTAACACTGACAAACTTTATAGCTCCAAGAAACCAGTATCTTAAAGGATGCCTTTAAGTGAGAACACACACATGTGCATCATTGAAACAGCAAGTACAGAATCACCCTACATTAGTCCAAGCTCACAAGCAGAATGAAAGTTTGACATGACTCTATAAAGAGTCAGCCTAGGGCGAACTAAACGTCTGAAAGAAGAACAAACTGAGTCTGAGAGCCTGAGGTTTCTCGGGTCTCCACCCCACAAGCCCGAGAATGTGCTGCAGAAGGCGGCTGGCAGGGGCCACGCCAGAGGGCTCCCGCACGGGGGCGGGGGGAGCACACGAGGTTCAGGGCACGCAGCTCCACTTTCACGACATGTACTCAGAGTGCTTCAAAGGGAAGAAGACGCAGAAATAAATCACTCCACTTTAGAGTCAAGGGTACTTTAGGGAACAGAAATGGAAATAAACCAAACTGTGGGGCCAGAACACACTCAGCAGAACGGCTAAACTGAAAACGAGCTAAGTTCGGACCCAGCGAGGACGCAGAGCCGCCGGAATTCGCACGCACCACCGCTGGAGGTGTAAGCTGGGGCCCCACTGAGGGGCCGTGTGGCAGCCCCCCGTGGAGTTGAGACAGACACCCCGCAACCCCACAACCCCATAACCCCATTTCTAGGCATCATGACTGGAAGCTGTACTTGTGGCCAAAAGACACGTACAAGAACGGGCTCAGGGGCCTCGCCAGTGGCAGCTGGAACCACAAACGCCCCGACGTCCAGCTGTGACAGAAGGATGCGCTGAGGCACGCTGGCACAGGGATGCTGAGCAGCGAAGACACAGCGAGAGATACTGATGCGCGCAGTTCCGTGGAGGATAATCACAGAAACGTGATGTTGAGGGAAGAAACCAGACAGAAGGAATACGCTACATACTTACAACTTAAACAGACTCTGGCATTAAAAGCCAGCTCAGTGACCACCTCTGGGGAGGAGGGAGGGAGCAGGGATGGGAGACAGCATGGAGGCGGCTCCAGGGTGCCAGCCACACTGTATTTGTAGACCCGGGTGGGGGCTGCAGGGGGACACTTAGGGCTTGCGTGCTGTCTTGCATGTACGGTGCACGTCAGTACAATAAAAGGCTCGAGTTTACTTAACAGGTAATAGTGAGAATGAGAAGACACCAGGGCCCCTGTCAGGAGACTTCTGACCAAATGCGCTGGATTAGACATGTGACCGACCCTCTGCCACCCAGACACCTGATGAGAGTCGTGTGCATACGTTTTTAAAAGCATACACTTACTAGGACAAAAGAACACAACAGGGACAAAGCGGACTAGAGCAGTCAGCAAATTTTGGAAGCTAGAAAGTAAACAGGTGGTGACTGACTGACCCTCGGTCCCCAGGAAGAAGCCCTTTTGGGAGATGGGGAGGACTGAAGCACCAACCAAGGCAAGCTCGCTCAAGGCACACA